AAACAATTTATGTTCAAAGGGTGCAATCTGCCAATTTTGCAATTTAAGGGTGCAAAGTACCAAGAGGGTGTAATTCAAGCGGGCAAAGTGCAAAAAACCCCTACAAAAGGGTCTGTCTCTTTGATTTTGTAATATATATACAAGGAAACATATCAAAATATAAACCCTAAATATATGATTTTTGGTAATATTATATTTATATAAGGAAACACGATCAAATATTGATTATTTTTATACAAGGAAACACGATCATATAATCATATCAAAATATAATGAATCAAATAAATATTATCTATTAATAATAAAATTCACCATTAATAAGCAGGGGAAAAAAATGGCTATTTAAGTTGGTAAAATAGCTATTCATTTGCATATAGAACTTAAAAAAAAAATTACACAAACATGTCTGAATATCCTTGTGTTAATGTTTGCGACTATCGTGGTACTCTCTCTCTCTCTCTCTCTCTCTCTCTCTCTCTCTCTCTCTCTCTCTCTTATACTGAATTGTGCATGCAGGAGTGAACTACAAGATGAGGTGGCCGGAGCTAGTAGGGCTGCCGGCGCCAGTATGCGCGGCGACGATAAAAGAAGATAATCCATTTGTGACATCAATAATAAATCTGGTTCCGAGCGATGAAGGAGTTAATCCAAACTACTGCTGCAACCGCGTTTATCTGTTTCTTGACCAAAACGACGTATGCATCGCCGTTCCTAAAGTTGGTTAAGGGATTATCCATTCCTTAACTCTATTAATTAATTAATTAAATAAATATATGTTGCTGGCCTGAGTCGAACTCGCTCATGCATGGAATAATATCCAAGTTTGTCTGTTGTATGAGTTTCAGACTATTTATTTTCCCCTAATTGCAATGTTTAAATTTGAATTTGAATTTGAAATTGTTATGTCCTATGTTTGTGTTATTTGACTTCAATGTCAAATGTTTTAGGTCAATTTGCATCAGTGCTTTTACCCAAACTAGTAATAGCCCTGTGCGATGCACGGGACTAACTATTCGTTGTTTTTCACTCGCCCAATATATTGTCTTTATCTGTTAATGAAAGCAATTCTTTTTTTCCTCAAAGGTAATAATAGATCTATTATCTGTAGAATACGAATTTTATAAAAAAATGCCACATCAAAAATGCATTTTAGTTTTAATTAGTGGACAAAAAAAAAAAAAAATCTATGCCTTTAATCATAACATGGTAATTAGTACAAAACTATCGTTTTTTAACTATTGTTCATAATATTTTAACTCAACCAAGTCCAAATATGCTTGGCTACAAAATTAAATAAGACATATATATTGATCATAAGAAATTTACAGGGATAATCACATATACATAATTATAGAATAGAAAAAAATATATGAAAAAATGAAATGAAACATAATAGAATCGGAGAAATTCGTTTGTAGTAACTTGAAAAATACTTTTGTTTTCATGTGAAAAATTTTCTGAACCCAGACATTTTTAACGAATTAAAGCTGGAATTCTTTTAACTCGAACAAATGTCAAAATCAGGGAACATATTTCTCCAGGTCCCAACTCAGATTATGTTTCAAATAGCCCCATTCTGCATTCGTAAGAAGAAAATCAACAAATACTCGATTAGAAAAAAGAAAAAAAAAAAAAAAAAACTCAAATAAGATATGTATATAGATTGTTCACATCAAACAATACAACACTAGGGACAATTTTGGCACCAAAACACCAATGGCATCAACTGTAGAAAAGATGAAACACATAATGAAAAAGATGAATTGTGTCTTGTATTTCATCAATGAGAGCTTGTACATTTATATACACACAAGAGAGAAATAATAAAGGAAGAAACTAATTACACCTAATCAAATCCCTAATCAAATCACTAATTAAGACTTGATTGAATCTAATCAAATCACTAATCAAATCACTAATTAAGACTTGATTGAATCTAATCAAATCACCTAATTAAGGCTAAACTAAATCAAAATGAATTTATATTATATTATTCTAACACCCCCCGTCAAGTTGGAAGTGGTATTGATATATCAAAAACACCCAACTTGCGAACTAATCGCCGATAAGCTTCACCGCCAAGTGGTTTCGTAAAAATATCTGCCAGTTGATCACTTGAACGTAGGTATGAGGGAACAATGAGACCTGCCTGAATTTTTTCTCGAACCGAATGACAATCAATCTCAATGTGCTTGGTGCGTTCATGAAAGACAGGATTTTCTGCAATGTGTATAGCAGCTTGGCTATCACAATGAATTGGAATTGGTTGAGAGTGGTTGAAACCGAGATCCGTTAGAACATATTTTAACCACTGTAACTCACACGTAAGTGCAGCGAGAGAACGATATTCGGCTTCGGCAGAAGAACGAGAAACGGTTGGTTGTTTCTTAGTTTTCCAAGAAATAGGACTAGAACCCAACATGGTGAAATAACCAGTGGTAGACCGACGAGTGGTAGGACAACCAGCCCAATCAGAGTCAGCATATCCTACTAGAGTGAGAGAACTAGATGCAGAAAGGAATAAACCTTTACCAACAGTACCTTTAAGATAACGAAGGATTCGATTGGCAGCATCAAGATGAGTAGAATGCGGATTTTGCATGAATTGACTAAGAGTATTTACCGCATATTGAATGTCCGGTCGTGTTACAGTGAGATACAACAGGCGCCCTATGAGACGTCGATAGATTGATGGATCGGGAAGAGGAGTCCCATCATGTGGACGTAAACGAAGATGTGGTTCCATTGGAAAATCAGACGGACGAGAACCAGTCATCCCGGAATCAGATAAGATGTCTAGAGTATACTTGCGTTGACATAAAAAAATGCCTTGTTTAGAACGAGATACTTCAATACCCAAAAAATATCGAAGATTACCAAGATCTTTTATGGAAAAAGAATTGGCAAGAAATTTTTTGATATCGGAAATAGCATCATCATTATTTCCTGTAATGATAATATCATCAACGTAGACGAGTATAAAAATGGATGTCTTATTACGAATATATGTAAAAAGACTGTAGTCTGAAATTGATTGATGAAAACCTCGACTAATAAGAGTGGTTGAGAATTTGGAGAACCATTGACGAGATGCTTGTTTAAGACCATATATTGATTTATTTAATTTACATACACGAGTCTCCCCTTTGTGAGAGAAGCCAGGGGGAAGTTTCATATAGACCTCTTCATTAAGATCTCCTTGAAGAAATGCATTGTTAACATCAAGTTGGTGGATGGACCAACTTTTAATGGCAGCAATTGAGAGTAGGAGACGTACAGTAACTAGTTTTGCCACAGGTGCGAAGGTATCATGATAATCAATTCCTTCAATTTGAGTATAACCTTTGGCAACTAGACGAGCTTTATATCGATCAATTGAACCATCTGACCGATATTTAATTTTGAAGACCCATTTACAACCAATGGGTGATTTGCCGGGTGGAATTTGACATAAGGACCAAGTGTTATTTGATTCTAGAGCTCGAATTTCCTTGGCCATTGCATCACGCCATTCAATTAATTTTATGGCTTGAGAATATGATCGCGGCTCTTGATTCTTAATGATATTTGTGAGAAAGGCTCGATGGGAATGACTTAAATTACGGAAAGAAATGTAATTTGCTAGTGGAAAATCAGTGGATAGTGAAATATGATTACAAATATAATCATTGAGACGCTTTGGTTGGTGACGGATGCGTTGAGGGTAATTACGAACAATGGTTGTAGAAGGTGAATCAGAAGATGGTGTGCCATCGAAAATAGATGGAGAATTAGTTGAACCATCAACTTGAGAAGGTGAGGAAGGAGGTTCGGAAATAGAGGGAGAATTGATTGAATCATCAAGTTGAGAGGGTAAGGAATGAGATGGTGGCGAGTCATCCAAACTCGTAGTTTCATTATGAGGAATAGAATCACCCGAAGGGGGGTCGATGAGTGGTGTAGGGTAGTCAAAAGTCCCATTATCATTGATCGGAGTAATTGAAATTGGATCTTGTAAAGATGAATTTGCAAGATCATGATATGGAAAAATTGACTCATGAAAAATGACATCGCGTGAAACGTAAATTTGACGAGTTTTGAGGTCGTATATACGATATCCCTTTTGTCCATAAGGATAACCAACAAAGATGCCAGGTTTTGCTCGTTCATCAAATTTATGTTGAATATTTATATTTTTAGCAAAACATAAACACCCAAAAACTCGAAGAGAGGAATAAGATGGAAGATGTCCAACTAAGACTTGATGAGGAGATTTATATTGAAGGACTGGAGTTGGAAGTTTGTTAATGAGAAATGCAGCGGTTAGAATACATTCACCCCAAAAAGAAAGAGGCAAGTTTGCTTGAAATCGTAAAGCTCGAGCGACATCAAGGAGATGCCGATGTTTACGTTCTACAATGCCATTTTGTTGTGGGGTCGCAACGCAACTACGTTGATGAATGATTCCATTATCATGAAACCATTTTTGAATTTGTTTGGAAAGAAATTCAGAACCATTATCTGAACGTATGGTTTGAAGTTGAGGAAGAAAAATATCCCCATTTCCGGAATTGAAACGAGAGACTTTCGTGTTAAATTGACGATGAATTAGATTAAAAAAATGAGTTATCATGTTGAAAGTTTCGGATTTGTGTTTCATTAGATAAATCCAAGTGCATCTTGAATAATCATCAACAATAGTTAAGAAGAATCGTGATCCATTTTGTGAGGGTATAGAGAAAGGACCCCAAATATCAACATGAATCAATTCAAAACAATGAGAAGAACAAGATGTACGTTGAGGAAATGAAAGACGTGCCTGTTTAGCACGTGGACAAACATCGCAAACAAAATCCTTATTTGGAATAATATTTTGAGAATTCTTAACAATAAAATCAAAACGAGGCCTAGATGGATGACCAAGGCGAGAATGCCATAGATCAAATTTATTACATTGCGTAATAGAAAGAGCAGAATTAGAAACCAAATTGCAATCTAGATAGAAAAGGCCATTGTGAGGATTACCCCGACCAATCGTCTTCTTCGTTGATTGGTCCTGAAATACACATCCAGACGAAGAAAAAATTATATCACAATTTGTGGATTTCGTAAATTGTGAAATGGATAACAAATTGAACTTAAATGTATCCCAGGCCACATGTACTG